AATTTTAGTCTGTTTTTGTATTTGTGTGTAAGGTGTGTCATTTGTAGACAGCATATTGAAGGGTCTTGTTTTCTTATCCATTCAACCATTCTCTGTCTCTTCACTGGTGCATTTCATCCATTGACATTCAGTGTAATTAGCGATAGGTATGGATTAACTGCTGTCATAATGTTATTTTTTTGTAGTGCTGTTTGTCCCTTTTTTTCTGCATGCCTTCTTGTGCTGTGTTCATGTTTTTTATGCTATTTCTTTTCAGTTTCTTCTTTGTTTTAATGTTTCCTTGTTCTGCTTGGATCATCATTTTCATGGTAAGTTGTGAAGTATTAATTTTTTGAGGGGTTACCCTATAGTCTGTTAAGTTTTCCATGCATTTAAGACAGTCTATTGTATACTGGAATATACTCGACCTCCTCACCACCTGGATCTCTGTTCCTATATTTTTCCCTTCTTTGACATTGTTAATATTTTGATCTTTGGTGGGCCTCACAGGTCCTCTGAATTCATTGCTGTAATTTTGTTCCGTTCTGAACTCTGCTATCCATTGACCAAGTTCCAGGTGGTGTTGCCACGTCTGTCAATCTCTGGTTGTTGTCTATTCTTGCTGGTTTTCATTACAAAGAACTCCCTTTAGGATGTTTTTCATAACAGCATTGGCCTTGACAAAATCTCTTAGCTTCTGTTTATCCTGGAATGTTTTGATTGCACCATGCTATTTGATTGACAGTTTTGCTGGGTAGAGGATTCATGGTTGGCAGTTTTGTGTTGTTGTTGTTGTTTTCTTTCTTTCTTTCTTTTAGGGTTTTATATATGTCTCCCCATTGCCTTCTTGCCTGCATGGTCTGCTGAGAAATCAGAGCTTAATCTGATTTGATGCGTTTGTAGGTAACACTCCTCTTTTCCCTGACTGCTTTTAGGATTCTCTTCTTGTCTTTTATTTTGGAGAGCTTGATTATGACATGACTTCGTCTTTATTTTCCTCCACCCCTTTTTGGAGCATTTGAATTTGTTTCCAAATGATTCTTCTGAATTCCTTATCAGACAGATGCAGAGCCTGCTCTTCTACAAGAGAGTCTGTGTCTGCTTTCAGCTCATTTGTCTCAGTTACTTTTTTTGGTTTTGGACATGTGTTGAGATCTCTAATTGTGTTTTCTTGGACTTTTTCAACAGTTATGTGAGTTTTTAATGCTTAAATGAAGGTATGCTGCTTTGCTGTTAAGTTTGCTGAGCGTCTCCTGGTGGATATGATCTGAAGATTGGCTCCCCTTTTCACGTGTACTGCCTAACAGCTGGTTTTGGCTCTTCTCCAGATGTTGGAGTATTACAGAGTATGCTTGTAGCTTGGCTATATGGACATAGTTGCTATCTTTTCTTTGGTAAGTTAGGTGGAGAAAGCTCCAACCCCTGGGAGAAAAGTGAGGCCAAAAGGACCAAAGATAGAAACAGCATAAAAGCAGAGACAGAAACCACCGATCAAAAACAAAAATAAAATTGTGATTGACAGTGTCCACTAGCCTTTGCTGTACAAAGGGTCCCACCTAGGTAAACTTTGGGGTTGGTTCCCAGGGTCAAAAAATTATAAGAAGCAGCCTGCAGGTTTCCTCTCTGTGCCATTGGAAAACTGTGGGTGCAATGCTGGACCCTTTTGGGGGTGTGCTCCTGCCCACTGGAAGGCATGTGGGCTGTCCAATGAGGGCACAATCGGGTTGAAGAGGAGAGATATATGAAAAATGAAATGTGAAAGATGAAAAATTGGTCACACCTCTCCCTCCAGAAGCACTGCTCCTTGGCTTCTAGCACTGCGTCGCTGCCTCCATTTGGCTGCAGCCCCACCCTCTGGCCTGAGGACTTCTGGCTCTGACTGCTGCAGCTGGATCAATTCAGAAATCATCATATTTTGCTTCCACAGGCAGACTTCTTCTCAGTGGGCATGGGAAACTGGCACCCGGAACCTTAAACAAGATCCAAAGCGCCGCAGTTTTACTGCGGACTGCTCTTTCTCTGCTTTTTTTGGGTTTTGGCAGAGGAGTTTTCACTGTCTGTCTCTGTTTTCCATGCCCCCAAACCGGAAGTCACAATAATAGCTTTTTTAAAAAGTGTTTGAAATGAAGACGTCATTGGTCTTGAAAGATTCTACCATGCAATCTGTAGCATCATTTTGTTCATCAAGGCCATATTTTCCAACTACTGATCCTTCCTCTTTGTTTCCAACCTGTGCATTCCAGTCACCAGTAATTATCAATACATCTTGATTGCATGTTTGAACAGTTTCAGACTGAAGAATTTGGTAGAATTATTCAATCTTATCATCACTAGCTTTAGCGGTTGGTGAGTAAATTTGAATAATAGTTGTATTAACTATGTTGGTGGTGGTGGTGGTGGTGATTATGTGCCGTGGAGTCTGTTCTGACTCATAGCGACCCTGAACAGGGTTTCCGAGGCTGTAAATCTTTGCGGGAGCAGAAAGCCTCATCTTTCTCCCACGGAACAGCTGGTAGTTTCTAACTGCTGATCTTGCAGTTCACAGCTCGTTTCATAACCTCTACGCTACCAGAACTCCTTATTAAGTATGGTAGGCATATGGATATTATCCTATCACAGAGAGATCTTGAAATGTTCTTTTTGATGATGAATGTTAAGCCATTCGTCTTCAATTTTTCATTCCTAGAATAGTAAACCATATGATTGTCAGATTCAAAATAGCAAGTACCAGTCCATTTCAACTCACTAAAAGGAGCTCTGGTAGCATAGTGGTTACGAATTGAGATGCGAACTGCAAGGTTAGCAGTTCGAAACTACTAGCTGCTCCGCAGGAGAAAGATGAGGCGTTCTGCTCCCGTAAAGATTAACAGCCTCGGAAACCCTGTGCAGGATCGCTATGAGTCGGAACAGACTCCACGGCACATAACACCAACAACAATGTTATCTCAATAATAGATCAGATGCACTGAACACCAACGACCAAACACCAGACAAGCTGTAGATAACATCAAGGACATTATACACAAATAAAGCAAAAGGTAATTAAAAAGATAAGAAAGAAAGAAAAATGAATGTCAGAAAAGACTCTGAAACTTGCTCTTAAACATAGAGAAGCTAAAGCAACTGAAAGAAACAATGAAATAAAAGAGCTGAACAAAAGATTTCAAAGTGTGCCTCCAGAGACAAAGTAAAGAATTATAATGAAATGTGCAAAGACCTGGAGTTAGATTAGCATTTCTCAAGCAGATAGATTTGAAGAAAAAATTCAAACCTCAAATTGCAATGTTAAAGGAGTTTATAGACAAAGTAAAGAATCATACAGTAAGCATCAAAGGATGGATGAATTACACAGTCATTGTACCAAAAAGAATTGGTAGAAGTTCAACCATTTCAGGAGGGATTGTATGATCAAAACCTGATGGTACTGAAAAAATAAATCCAAGCTATACTAAAAGCAATAGCAAAAAACAAGTCTCCAAGATTTGACTGAATACCAACTGGGCTGCTTCAACAAATGCAAGCAGTGCTAGAAACTCTCACGGGTCAATACAAAGTAATTTGGTACCTGGTCAACTGACTGGACGCGATCCAGATTTGTGCCCATCCCAAAGAAAGAAGAACCAATAGAATGTGAAAATTAGCAAACAGTATCATTAATATCATGAGTCCTGGTGTGGTGCTGTGGGTTAATGCGCCAGACTGCAAATTGTTTGAACCAGAAGGTCAGTGGTTCAAGTTCACCAGTCGATCCTCGGAAACCCTACACTGGGTCGCTATGGGTGGGAACTGACTTGAAGGCACTTAACAACAACAACATCATTAGTATCACAGTAAAACAAAGTTTGGCTGCCATTAATTCAAATGTGGTTGCAGCAATACATTGATAAGGAACTGGCAGAAATTCAAGCCAGATTCAAAATAGGATGTGTAAGGAAACATATGGTTATTGATATCAAATGGGTCTTGCCTCAAAGCAGAGAATGAATGAAAGATGTATCTCTCTATTTTATTGACTATGAAAGGCATTTGACTGTTTGGATCATAACAGGTTATAGATAATGTTACAAAGAATGAGAACTACAGAACACTTAATCATAATCATATGAAACCTACACATAGACCAAGAGGCCGTTGTTGCAACAGAACAAGGAAAACATGGTCTGAAATCAGGAAAGGTATGCATCAAGGTTATCATTTCACTATACTTATTCAATTTGTATGCTGTGCAGATAAACCAAAAAGCTGAATTATATGAAGAAGAACATGGCATCTGCATTGGAAGAAGACCCATTAACAACATGTGATATGCATATAACACAACCCTGCTTGCTTAAAACTAAAAGGACTAGCATCACTTACTGATGAAGCACGGGGGTGGCAGGGTGCGGAGTAAATGGAGAAAAGTTTCAAGTTGTCAAGTATTTCCTTTTACTTTGATCCATAATCAACAACCATGGCAGCAACAGTTAAATTCAAACCCACCAGTTGTTCCTCGGAAACCCTACACAGGGTCTCTATGAGTCAGAACTGACTCAACGGCACCTAACAACAACAAGAAGTCCTTGGAGAAGAATATCATGCTTGGTAAAGTAGAGTGTCAACAAAAAAAGATGAAAACCCTCAAGGAGATGGATTGACACAGGACTACAACAATGGACTTAAAAAGGGAAGTATTGTCAGGATGGTGCAGGATTGGGTAGTGTTTCATTCTGTTGTACATATGGTAGCTATGAGTCAGAATCGACTTGGCAGCCCTTAACGGTAACAACAGTAGTCATGTTAAAATCATAAAAAGAAGCAGGTGGAGTCAGTTTTGATATTATGTTTACCCCAATGTATCTGAAATGTAATTTCAAAGTGTTACTAATATTTAAAATTGATCAAATATTTCACATTTCATACTAAGTTTTTGAAATCCAATGTATATTTTACTCTTAAGACTAGCCACATGTCAAGTACTCACTATCCAGTGTTAGATTGTGGACAGTGCAATAGTATGGTAAGACAGGGCTGCTCCCTACCTTACTGCCAAAATAGGGATTGACAAATGTCACATCCTCCAAACAGTAAAATTCTGTTGGGTCCTTTAATCAACTGGATTTTGTTAATACAACGCCTGAAATAAACATAAAATCATAGTGGTACAGGGGATTGGATGTTTTGCATATTCCCTAAATCAAAGAAAATCCACTACTGTTGAAGAAATTCCAACTTTCAGCAACCCTATGTGGTGCTGTGGACTCCTGGTATGGTGTGACGGGTTAATGCATTGAACTGCAAAGTCAATTTGAACCACAAGGTCAGTGGTTCAAACTAACCAACCCTATACAGGATTGCTATGGGTCAGAAACAACTTGATGGCACTTAACAACAGATGTGGTACTGTAGGATCAGCACTGGGATACAAACCATAAGATTGGCAGTTCAAACCCACCAGCTGCTCCTTGGAAACCCTATGCAGGGTCACTATGAGTCAGAACCAACTCAACAGCACTTAACAACAACAACGTGGGACAGAGTAGAAATGCCCCATAGGGTTTCCAAGACTCTAAGTCTCTATGGAAACCAACTGATATTTTTCTTCTGCAGAGCAGCTGGTGGGTTCGAACTGCAAACCTTTCACTTAGCAGCCAAGCACTTAACCACTGTGCTACCAGGGCTCTGTTTTGCAAACCCAGGGTTGATTTTCCTTAAGATAGAGGTTAAAGAATATTCAGGATAATTGGAGGATAGCTATGCTTAATACAGCAAAGGGAGGCAGCAATGCTAATCCCTAAAACCTGCAGAGTTACAGACACCAAAAGAGAAAAACAAGAATATGCTTAAAAGGTATTAATAGGGAAGAATGAGAATTCTGCAAAGGGATGGTATCTCAGACTAATAAAATGGTGACTCTCACATCATGTTGTTGTTAAATGCCATTGAGGCAGTCCCGACCAATAGAGACCCTGTATAGCGTTTCCAAAGAGCTGCTGATGAGCTTGAACCACTGACCTTGTGGTTCAAACTGACCTTGCAGCCCAGCGCATTAACACACAGTGCCACACCAGGACTCCTCCCACATCACAGGCACACTCAAAGTGTTGCTGTTGTTAAGTGCCATCGAGTCAGTTCCCAACCATAGTGACCCTGTATAGGGTTTCCGAGGAGCAGCTGGTGAGTTTGAACCGGCAACCTTGCAGGTCAAACTGACTTTACAATCCAGTGCATTAACCCACAGCGGCACACCAGGACATTCAAAAGCATACCTCTGAATTCTTTTGAAAAGCCCAACGCCATTCTCATATGCCATAGTACTTATCCTAACAATAACAGGGCCAAGAATCATTAATCTACATTAAAGAAACAAAAACAAAATCAAGTAAATTGAGTGTGATCTCCTAGCCTGAGGCAGAGCTGGGACTTAGAATCCTTGGTGCCTGGCTGTGGGCCCAGAAATCAGTCTACAAGACCAGTTGTCTTGCAAAAGTTGCATTTAGCGTTGCCAAAGCAACAGGTTGAATAGTGGAAAACTTCAATCCATTGGTTTCTTTGTCTACATGATTCCAAACAAGTGAGCTGACTGATTGTATTTTTTCTTTTACTGAATTGGTCTCTTGTTTGAGCATTACATAGACACAGTTTAAACCTGATTCTCTCCAAACACGTTCATTAATTTGCAGGGAATGTAATTACTTTTAGCAAATCAGTTATTTGACATATAGGAGACTATGTATGATGTCTTCACACACAGCCAGGTAAGTTGTCTCAGTTGAACTGACCAGGCAACTTGAGAACCTGGAAGGAACCTTAGATTAGTCCATGTAGGTATTTTTGTTCTATTTTGTCTTAGGGAGCTCTCTGACAGCTACAACTGGGATTGACTTTTTCCATAACCCCATAATACTCACTCTGTGGAAGTTATTAAAGACAGAGTGGAGAAAACAACCACTGAATCAAAATGCTTTGTCAAATGGCTCCAAAGAAAAGTCTGCAGTGTAGCACTGTAGCTTTAAGTACCAGTAACCAAGTCAGTTTTTCTCGGTGATTCCACTGGTTTGTAAATAAACAATTAATGTGTTTCTAATTGTCTGCCAACAAATATGCCCCTTATCACTGTGGGAGCTCCTGTCCTGCAGAGAAAATTAAAAGAGCTTGTAGTGAATTCTTGGGTAGAGCACATGAATCTTTTGACAAAGTAAAGTATCACTCGCTAACTTATCTGTTTCACATGTGTAATGAATTGTCTTAAAGTAAGCACACCAGTAAAAACAAAATAATCCTGCTGCACAATACACTCTAGTCCTGCACTCTCAATCCAGAGACCTGGGGTACAGTGTGAATTCTGTCATTAACTAGCCATGTCATTTTGGATGAGTAATTTAACCTCTTCACGCCTCAGTGTCCTCATCTATCTAGCAGGATAATAGTCTTTGCATTATTTGCCTTATAGATTTGTTTTGAAAATCAAATGTGATAATCTATGTGAAAGTGTTCTGAAAAGCATGAAGCATTATGAAAGTCTAAGAGCTTATTATTATCATTATCGTCATTAGTATCACAAAGCACAGGAGAGCTTTACAGAAAGGAAATGCAATCTAATTTGGAGGAGTAAGGAAAAAGGAGTGCAAAGAATCTTTTATTTGGGGGTAGTTAGGTTTTTGTACTTTTCTTCCTGAAAAAAAAAAAAATTAAACAATCAAAACACACAGAAAAGGAAGGAACAGAGAGTCACTCTTCTGCAAAGTAATCATCATCTATTACAGAAACTCATCAGCTGCTCAGCTCTTTTGATTGCAGCCATGGAGGGCAGAGAGAAGGGAGGAAGACAGGAAAGAGGGGGCATCTTTGGTGCTTTGTTAGCTGAAGAACCCAGGACCAAGTGACTCGAGGAAATGATGTGCCTCTTGCCCATCCCTGAGTTTTCTTTAACCACTTTAAGTATTGATTGTCTCAAATTCATTTTCCTCTCCAATCATTTCCCTCTCTAATCATGATCCTCTTCAATCATTTTTTTTCTCAAGTCTTCTTTGCCCTTAGCCCACAAGCTCCAAACAAACCCTCCACCCACTCCATTTTTTCCTTCCCTCCCAAAGCATTGCAAGTTGGATTCACTCAGTGCCTAAAGAACCAGTCCATTCAGCAGGAAAGATCAGTAAAACCAGTCATTTGGGGAATTGACAAGCAACATAAACAATGGAGTGACTCCATTTGTCAGCTTTCCTTGGGATGTTTTGGCATTGGGTAGACAGACCCTATTAATCCTTGAATCTCTCTGGATAGAGCAGAATTTTAATTGGATGGCATTTAATTTTTACTAAGTATTTAATGATGTTAACTAAATACTTTATTCTTTGGCAGCAGCTAAGGTGAAGACATTAAATTTCTGTTCTAAGCAGTGATATGTCGAAAGGAAAACTTCCTTGAGGAAAAATCTCTATCAGATGTGTTTTAATAATTGATACAATGTGTGACTTTATTATGTTTCTAATACTGGAGATATTGAATGATAGTGGTTTTTCACAGCAATGCCAATATATTAAAGCACTAAGAGTAACACCTGTCATGGTTTCAATCCAGAGTTTTACAAACTCATAGGAATATTAGAGCTGGCAGGGCTATTGAAACTCATCTAATCCAATTTCTTCATTTCACAAATGAGAAAATGGTGGCCCAAAGGTTAAGTGACTTGGCCAAAGTCACTATAGATGTTCTTCCTTGGAACTTGCCAAAATGGCACCACTTCATTCCCTGTTGTTGTTGTTGTTAAGTGCTGTCAGATCATTTCCAACTCACAGTGACCCTGTATAGAGTTTACAAGGAGTGGCTGGTTGGTTTGAACCTCAGACCTTGTGGCTCAAACTGACCTTGCAGTTCAGTGCATTATCCTGCAAATTAATTGATCTGCTATTGGGGACCTGATGGAGTAAGACAAAGACAAGATAATAATGAAGATTGTTATTGTTATTAAGTACCTTCTAGTCAGCTCTAATTCACAGCAACACTTACAGGGTTTCTGAGTAACTGCTGGTGGATTTGAACCACAGATTTTGTAGTTCAAACCGACCTGGTGTCCTGTGCATTATCCTGAAGTGCCACACCAGGACTGGTGATTAAGTAGGATACCTTTTTCCCAAGGAAGGACAGTCAAAAAACAGAATTCAACACTTTGGGAAAAAGGCATGAGTGTCGAAGTGAGAATCCTGGATTCCCAGGAATCCCAGAGGAGTCCTGTATGCCTAGGAAAAGGTTGAAATTTACCATTTATTGAGCATCTACTATGAAATAGGAGTCCTGGTGTGCTGCTGTGGGTTAATGTGCTAGACTGCAAACTTGGTTTGAACCACAAGTTAGGCAGTTCAAGCTTACCAGCTGCTCCTCAGAAACCCTATACAGGGCCGCTATGGGTCGGAACCTTCTTGACGACACTTAACAACAACAACTATGAAGTAAGTACCATTCTAGTTACTTACTTAAGTTTATTTAATCCCCACTACAAGAGTCCAGGTGTGGCGCTGTAGGTTAATGTGCTGGAGTGCAAAGTTGGTTTGAATCACAAGGTGGGAGGTTCAAATTCACCAGCTGCTCCTGGGAAACCCGCTAAAGGGTCACTATGATTCAGAACTGACTCAACAGAACTTAACAACAACACAGGAGTCCTAAGGAGCCCTGTTAGTATAATGGGTTATGGGCTGAACTTCTAATCACAAGGTCAGCAGTTTGAATCCACCAGCCACTCCGAATGCGAAAATGAAGCTTTCTGCTCCCATTAAGACTTACAGCCTCACATACTCTGAAGAGGGGAAATAATATTAAGATACTTGACTGTCTTATAAATATTAGTTTCCCTTGCCTACTATTGTAAAATAGACACTTGAGTGGGATAGAAAGAAATATCAGGAAATGTGATTACAGAAAGCTTGTAAGCCCATCTTTAGCCTATAACTGATTGGAATACCTAAAAGGGGTTCTAGAACTTGCCCAGTGAAATAGGCTTCTTGCAGAGCCTTTGTAGTGTATAGGACCTTAGGTGTAATACTGAGCCCCATGCAGAATCTTCTGAAGTGGGACATTCCCACTGCAAAGGACAAGCAGATCGGCCTGGAACAGCTAGAGGAACAGAAGATACTTCTTGAAAGAAAGACCAGCAGGAAAAATTCAAAACAAAAATGGCAGTATGATTGGCCACTACAAGAACAAGCAAGTTGTTCACCAGGGACCCATAAAGGTAAGCAATCAAGTCCCTTCAGGACAAACTCCCCTCCAAGACTAAAATTCAGAGGGAGCACATGAGCAGGCATGTAAACTTGCTGGTGACCACATTGGTCTACTGGTGAGTGGAAGAGGGGGGAAAAGCAGCAATGAAGATATGGGCTGAGTTCGACCATGTTACACAGACTCCTGTTGACCTGGAGATGAGAGAGAAAAGAGGAAGGGCTGCTTGGTCCGAAGTGTGATGTGACCTGGGGATTCATGAGCCCATGGACAAGGACATAGCCATGGAAGGCTAAAGCTGAGAGTAAAGCATCCAGCTGATATGAAGTTAGGGGAGATGCACAAGAACACTCAAACTTGCAGAGTATCCTTTTGACCTAGCATCGATAGCTTGATGATTAGAACTTGACTGTTTTTGTTGTTGTTATGTAGCGTGGAGTCGATTCCAACTCATAGTGATCCTACACAGGGTTTCTGAGGCTGTAAATCTTTATGGGAGCATAAATCCTCATCTTTCTCCCACGGAACAGCTGGTAGTTTCGAAGTCCTGACCTTGCAGTTCACAGCCCGATTTGTAACCACTACGCTACCAGAGCTCCTTAGAACTTGACTAGAGGAATATATATATATATTTGATAAAGGAAACAAGTGTAAATTGGTACAATTTGATGGACTTGACCCGTACTTCTGGATATAGTACCTCATAATCAACTGAGAGGGAAGGAGTCTAAATATCAAATATCAATCCTATCCCTTCTGTGTACAGGGTAGATAGGGACTGGCAACTTAGCCAATGGCTACCTAAAATGAGGGGGAAATAAAGGCACAAAGTGACTGGCTTACAAGTTTTCAAGAGGGAGTTTAGTTTAGAGTGTGGGGTGGGGGAAGATAGAGTCCCTACTGAATAATTTTCATCTTGTCTAGACAGGTCTGGTGAAAAGAGATGGGAATAAGATTCTTATGATTCAATAGTAATTGTTATCATGACTAACTGCAATTGTCACAACTGTAAAGGAAGCAGTTCCATAACAAAAAGGGGGAAGTAGTTAATCTTATAATCCAGAAACAGAGGACCCTAGGACCATCAAGGGAGAAGACCCCGAGTGAAATGTTGGACCCTAGCCAGAGAAGCAGTGACCCCAGAGTTGGAGGCAGAGATAAGAACATGGAGAGAGAGCAGCTGAGGACGCTAGACTCATGGAAAGAGAAAGACTGAGTGCTGGCAGTCAGGTGCTGGTGGCCAGGAGGCAGGTTTGCAGAATGTGCCCTTTGGTTGTTTGAATGATTATATATTCCTGAGTGTTTTTTGTACATCATTTGCGCCCACCCCCCAAAAAAATTAATAGAAGCAAATACTGTTGAATGGTGATGCACAGAGGGGATTGTAATCATTGCAACGAAACAATGAGTGTAAAACTGATGCTCTCTGAGAACAAACAAGATGGTGGATTGGGTGGAAGTGGAGTGAGGAGCTCCATCAACACAGAATACCAGACCAAGCAGGCTCAGAGGATTGTGCCAGAACACTGTACCACATATACAGGAATATTTAGAAGGTTGGAAGGCTTACAGCTAGGGGAATTTGTATCAGAAGCAAGAAATCCATTGCTTTGTAATTCAAGATGCTCAGCTGCTCCCACAGCCAACATCTTGGGAGAGACCAAACGGTGGAAGGATCACAGCAGCCACAGATGCCTGACAGAACCACAGAGATAAAGGTGTGGACATTCTTTTTTTTTTTTTGCATCTGTTCATAGGTCTCTTCACTGTCTGCACACCTCCATTCTGGTGACTAGATGGGATGCCTGATAAAGTGGACACTCCACCCCCATCCGGGAAGGTTCTACTATGCATGTGCACAGGTCTCCTCGAAATTTAAAGTGACAGTTTTCACTTAAAACCAAATGGCCACAGCCGGCCCTGAACTGTTTTTAACTAGAAAACAAAGCCTGAACGGGGGTTGTGAAACAGGACAGGCAGACAAAAAAGGAAATAGGCCGAAAATTAAATCCTGAGTTATGCCACAATGACCAACAGTAGCATCTTGAAATTTCTCTGGAAGAAGGGTGAAAAGGGAAGCCCATTCCTGATCACATCTACCTGGAGGCAACCAGAAAGCATTAAAAAAATACCAAAATACACACCCATCTAAGTATTAAGGCCACAGATACTCCTTAAGATGCCCAAAAAACAAAATCAGATGACCATATCAGCACATGTCCAGAAACGAGATAAAGTGACTGAGGCAAATGAGCTGAAAGTAGACCTACACTCCATACTGGAAGACAGGCAGGCTTTGAAAATACCTGAGAAGAAATTCAGAAAAATTATTATAAATTGTATCAAAATATTATACAATGGAGTTGAGAAAAATAAGGAAGAAGTCAGCAAAGTGCTACAGGAACAATCAAATAAGGTAGATATAGCATTGGATACAATTCAAAACCTACAGAAAGAGGTCCAAATGATTAATAATAGAATATCAGAAATGGACAATAAACCGAAAGGGCAAAGGGAGTAGAATTGAAGAGATAGAAGCCAGAACTAGTGAGTTAGAAGATAAATATCTCAACACTACTAAGATAGAAGAGCAAACACAAAAAAAGGATTTTTAAAAATCTGAAGAAGGCCTAAGATTCATGTTGGACAACATGACGAGGAATAACTTAAGAAGTATCAGTATTCTGGAACAGGAAGAATCACACAAGTCCACAGAGGAGACAGTTGAAGAGCTTCTGGAAAAAAATTTTCCTAACATCCTGAAAAGTGAAAAGGTAAGTATTCAAGAAGCTCTACGAACCCCAGGAAGGATAGAACATAAAAGACAATCACCAAGACATATAATAATCGAGCTTTTCAAAATCAAAGATAAGGACAGAATCCTGAAAGTAGCTAGGGAAAAGAGAAGTGTAACATAAGCTTGGCTCTCTCAACAGAAACCATGCAGGCAAGAAGGCAATGGGGAGACATATATAAATCCCTGAAAGAAAAAAACTGCCACTCAAGAATCCTCTTTCCAGCAAAGCTGTCAATCAAATATGATGGTGTAATCAAAACATTCCAGGATAAACAGAAGATAAGGGATTTTGTCAAAGCCAACCCTGTTATGAAAAACATATTAAAGGAAGTTCTGTGGACTGAGAACCAACAAGAACAGTCAACAACCAGAGAATGACATACGTGGCAACATCACCCTGATCTCAACTGACAAATGGAAGAGTCAAGAACAGAATAAAATTATAAGAGGGAAGTCAGTCTATGATCAAAACAATTACAATGTGAAAGAAGGTAAACACAGAGGAACAGAGATTCAGGTGGTGGGAAGGTCAGGTAGATTACAGGATGAAATAGACTGTCTTAAATGGAGGAAAGAGTTAATGGTATACAAGGTAACCACAACAGTAGGGTTGGGGTGGGGGGTTTAGTTCGGGTATTGGGGAGGGCAATACAAGAAGGGGGAGGAGGCCGAAGAACAAGATAGATAGGGTGTATGATTTGTTCAATGTAAAACTGATGATCTGCCCAGTAAACTTTCACTCAATCCACAATAAAAACCTTAAAAACAAAACAAAACAAAGCAAAAAACTGATGCTCTCCCATGTAAACTATCACTCAATTCACAATAAAAACTTAAAAAAAAAAAAAAAAAGTAAATAGGGGGAAAAAATGGGTTTACAGCCTCGGAAACCTTATACAAGGTCACTATGAGTCAGAACTGTCCACAACCACCACAGGAGTCCTGGTGGGGTGCTCTAGGATAAGGACTTGACTGAAAACTGCAAGGATGGCAGTTCAAACCCACCAGCCAGTCCTTGAAAACCCTATAAAGGGTTGCTAGGAGTCAGAACTGACTCGAGTGTGCTTCATAACAAAAATAACAACAGTCTCATAAATTAGTACCCTTATTCTTAGAGCTGGGCTCCTAGCCAAAATCTGCCTAATTCTTGGAACTCACTAATAGCTCTATTCCATTCCCTATGAGTCCATGCCATTGAAAGAAGTAGTGGTTATAAGAGGTTCTGCCAGGAGAAAGGCATCAGAAAGTACTATTTCTCCTATTTTGCTACTGTGTTGAGAAGCAAATCTACTCATGGGTAACAACACTGACAACACAGCTGATAAAATTATTCTTGGCATCATGAAAAGACTTCACACTACATGGGGCAGTGGTGATGGTGGTTGTGTGCCACCGAGTCTGTTCTTACTTACAGCGACATCATATAGGGTTTCCGAGGCTGTAAATCTTTACGGGGGCAGAATGCCTCATCTTTTTCCCACAGAATGGCTGGTGGATTCTAACTACAGCCCAGCTCCTAATCCACTATTTTAGGTCTCCTAAATGGGGCAGTACAAATGGTAAATCACAATGGAAAAAAAGAAAAGAAAATCAGTGGGTCATGTAATGAGGCAATTGTACTGAAGCATGGCTTCCTGGAAATCAATATTAACAAGGTTATTATGGGCTAGTATTTTTTATTTACAAAAAGACCAAAAATTGTACCTTATAAAGTAAGCATATCCATTAATAGACAGAAGGGCTATAAGCAAAGCAAGGCAAACATCACAGCAAAGGCAGGGCCGCTGCCTGTAGAGAGGAAGAGGAAGAGAGAGAGACAGTAAATAAAGAGCATCACAGAGCAACTGCTCATGCTTTCTGGTGACTCTAAAATCAAGCCACATCTACCTAACCTAATTCCATTTTTCTCCAGCACAGTCTGTCTTGTTGACTTTATGGATACGAAAGCAATTTCACTGTTCTGGAGCAAAAGCCACTCACCACTCTGACAATAACAAATCACCATGAATTAAGGCTGACCTGGGTGTTTCTTTGGTAAAAAAAAGAACATGAATCGAAAACTTTGAGTACCTTAATTTAAGTTGGTCAGCAATCGAGTTATTGAGAATAAATGTGTGTTGTCTCACCTGTGAAGGGTTAGTTTATGTGGCTTTCATAAAATAGACTTTTTTCTTTAACCTGATTTCATGGACCTCGTAAGTTATGGATGAAAAACATAGTGCTTGTCTTTCAAGGGTGAGTCTAATTTTGATCATTAGTGCTTTCATCAGGATGTAAATTGGCCTGTGGAAAATCTAATATTGGGGTAGTTTTTACTAAGATTGCAGAGAGAAATATAGGAGAAAGTGAGTAAAAAGTAGTTAGTTGGGTATGTCATGAAAAAGCAAAATAAAAATCAAAACTTATTTCAAATAGAAGGTTTTGGTTTTTGGAGGGGTGTGGCATCTGCTTCCATAGGAATAATATGGGTCCTTCCAAAGTTCACTTGTGACTTTCAGAGATGGATGACAGTTTCTCCTCTTCCACCAGTTAGAGCAGTTCCATCAGTCTGTCAAAATGCAAGTATTTAATTGATGCCTACCATGTTGGGCAGATGGGAAGTAGGGGGTCACAAGAATTATTAGCTGTGGCCCCTAGCCTCAAGGAGCAGTCTATTTAGAGGAAAACAATCAATGCACTAGAAACAACAGAAAAACAATTTTGCGCTGAATTGTGTAGTACAGCCTTTTAATTCAATGGAAGTTCAGAGGAGAGAAGTAGTGTGGATTGTCTGGCCCTGATCAGCAGGATTTAGATATATCATGTAGAATACAGGTGATCTTTCTAGGAGAGGAAACAATCGAAAGTTAAAGCCTACAAAAGATCAAAGAGAAGGCTGAAACCTTCCTCTTATTAGAGTAACCACTATGGGAAAGAATGAACAGGTTTGAAAAACGAGTCAGGGTTTTTCAATTGTGAATGATTATTCAGGCTGCAAACTACCTCTCATTGTCATTATTTTAAATTAACTGGGTAGAGTACCAAGAAGTTTATGCCATTTGAATGCAAATGACTGGTTTTATGAGTATTTCAATATTAAAATATGCCTTCCCCTCTTCCCTTGTAACCCAAGCTGAGCTAAATTGACTACCAATGATTTTCCATTCCTTACCTCCTTGGCAGGTCTTCCCTTCTGCAAACCAGCATTTTGCATCTGCTCGAGGGGACCTGACACCAGGGAAGTAAATGGGGTCCCTCCAAACCATAGCAGCTCCATTTCCATGTCCACAGTGTGGGTACTATGAAGTTCCCATTCTTTCCAGTTGGCGTCCAGAATTACACATTCAGAAATTCCATTTGAATCTGTCCTTATCAACTGGTTGAATCCATAGAACTGTATGTTTTTGGAATGCTGAACCAGGCTGGCAGTCCTAGCCTGTCCATTATTCATGGCTTGTGCGATAAAGTAAATTGAATTGTAGATGGTTCCAAACAACGGTGAAACCTATTTTTTTTAAATTACAATTATCTTGAGCCCTAGTTGCCCTAGAGCGATCTCAGAGTATATTCCAAGCCTGTGTTCATTATTATGGGTTGCACGTCTGAGTGGAGTAGAGCTATGAAGACCCAGAGGGGGCGAAAAATTGTTTCTGAGGACTTGCTTGGTTTCTCCCTTGAATTTTTCTGTTTTTCTCCCCCCAGGCCTTCACATCTTTAAATATATCAAATATGACAATTTTATGAGCAATCCAAGTTATATACAATATATTTTTATGCTCCTAAACTAAGAAAGTGATTTAGAGTTTCAAAGGACACCAAAAAAAAAAAAAAAAAAAAAGTGTGGCCTAGACAAGAGGAGCTCAAAGGAAACCTATCAGGTTAATTACGGGAGCAATATGCATAGTAAAATCATTTTGTGGGCACCACTAGAGTAGTAGGTGTGTGTGGCAAGACTATAAATAATGCATCTTCAAAGTCCATGTCCGAACTCTGTTTCCATTTAAAATGGATGTGTTCCTAGAGAAATTCTCCCCAGAGAAAGTGAACATTCTATTTCATTTTTAAACACAAACCTGTGCACATGCACAGACACATACATTGTCAAATACACCCATAAATACAGAGTCAAATATTGTACTATATGGAGCATATGGCTTTTAGTCAAGAAACTTTATCTAGTTGGTGTGCAGAGCGACAAAGCTTTGGTAAAAAGCCACCATAAAGCAGGATGGCAGAATGACAACACCTGCTAAATAAATATGATAAAAACAACAGTAATTGAACAGTAATTGTGTACTATGCTCTTTAACCTTGTAAATTTATTTTTGGAAGAATCTTTGCATCTTCTTTTTTTTCCCCAAAAAAAGGTAGGGAGAAACGGCAAATAATCTCCTACCTTCACCACCCTGCCCCTCCATGGCTTCATGGTTTTTTATGGCATTTCATTTCCAGGATGAAACTTTTCAAAACTATGGTCATGCAACTTTACTGATCTTCAGAGAAAGCTGATATTTTCTAGTTTGGTTTCATAAGGTCTAAAAGGTTATCTCTCCACTACTCTGTCAGTTTTTCATACTGTGGTGGTTTGCATGTTGCTGTGATGCTGGAAGCTATGCTACCGGTATTTCAAATACCACAGGGTCACCCATAGTAGACAGGTTTCCGTGGAGTTTTCAGACTAAGATAGACTAGGATGGGGGATTTGGAGAGCTACTTCTGAAGAAATTGACTAGTGGAGAACCTTAGGAATAGCCATGGAACATTAGCTGATACAGTGCAGGAAGATGAGCCCCCTCAGCATGGGGTCAAGCATAGAAATGATTGTAAGGATGAGACAGTGTTCTGTTCTGTTGTACATATGGTTTACTATGAATCAGAACAAAACAGCACCTAACAATAGAAAGCTATCATCCTGTAGCAACTTACATCTGAATAAAAAGTGTTTAAAATTGAGTCAAGCATTTTTGTGTTGAAAATAGAAGTCAAGATATAGGGAGGTTTAGTGGTATGGCGCTGTAGGATAAACACCGAACTGCTTACAGAAAGGTCGGCAGTTCAAACCCATCAGACACTCCTTGGAAGCCCTAGCAAAGGTCTCTGTGAGTCGGAACCAAGGCAGCGGCATTTAACAACAACAAATGGTTAACAAGATATTCTCATGCCTTGTTAATGTGAAGCAGAGGGTCTTAAACCCTGGCAGCACATTAGAATTAGAACTGAAGAGTGTCAAAAATACCAGTGCCCAGCCCAAACCAAAACTAACAAAATGAGACATTTCAGGTTGGGAATCCAGTAATCAGTATTAAAAGTATCCTAGGGATTCTAATATATATCCAGATTTAAAATAAATAGCATAGGATAATGCACAGTGGCCTGGCAGTTTACTCCTAACACCAGAATGTTTGAACAAGTCATTTATCCCCTCTCTCTGGACTTCAGGTTTTTCCTCTATAAAATCAGGATACAGAATCATGAATGTTGAAAGGTCTAACTATCTTTATAAATAGGAATGCAAGACCCAGAGAAGTTAAGTGATCTGTCAAGGTCATACTCACTTAGGCATAAAAATTAGGACTAGAACCCAGGTCGCCTATCTCCTAATTCAGCATTCTTGGTTGAACTAGAATGTTCCCGGGGCCCCTTCTAGTTGTGAACTCCCATGAAATTTTCCAACTTCTGTTCTAGTTCAGGCACATGTTTTATCTTGGAGACGTGTTATTCTTATTGTTTTTTTTTTTTTTTTTTAGTTTAGCTAGTATGTGGGTTATCCATCATCTCCTTGACCTCTTAACATTGGAATACTCCAGGGTTAAATCCTTGATATTCTTCTCTATCTAGACTCATTCCCTTGGTTATGTCTTCTGATTTCATATCTATGCCTATAATTCTCAGATTTCTATTTCCAGCTCAGACCTCTCTCCTGAATTCCAGACACAACATATGTTGTTGTTGTTGTTGTTGTTAAGTGCCTTCGAGTCGGTTGCGACCCTGTACAGGGTTTCCGAGGCTGTATATATATATACTCAACAGTCTTCTTGGAAATTTATTTGGATATTAAACTCAACACATCCAAAATTAAGCTCCTGATCATCACCCCAAATCCTTCTGTTCCATCTAGTCTCCCAGTTGCTCACGCCAAAAACCTTGCCCCAGATAACAATAGTAGCTGCTAGCTGAGCAGAAAGCAACATTGTGGTCTCCTGAGTTTTAGTTCAGTGATCTCCCTTCACCACTCTACTTTCATGTGCCTTCTGTAGAAACGGGCATCGTGAATAGATGACATGTGCTGCCACCAAGGCATCCACACTTAGTTGCCTAGCACACACTGAGGTCTCTTAAGAGGTTTTTACTAACTCTCTCTGCTCCACTTAATTGTCTTTAGGATTTCTGCAAGAGTCTGCCTGTTTTCTGGGGCTTTGGAAGGTTATAACAATAAGTGAAGGGTGGAAGGTGGAATATAAAAATCAATACTAGTAAACAAATGAATAAAAACTACAGGGCAGCAAGCTGCTGAAAGCAGGGAGAATACTAGTAATCTGTTTAAAACAGAAAAGAGCCTTCTGGGAAAGAGACGGTTTCTACCTACAGCCAAAAGCAAAGGTAGGAACTCTTAAAAAATAATAAAATTAAATTAAAACCTCCCACCTCTGAGTTATCCTATTCCTTGGAGTTTTCAGCTGGCCAGGCATGTTGCCATTTGTGTTTACAGGTTGGTCTTTGTTAGAACTGACTGACAGCAATTCCCCAAGATTACTGAAGACTGAAGTCTATTCTTCAACCTCCATCACATAGCACACACACACACACACACACACAGGGGAAGAGCATAAATTGTAACAGAAGTATTCAGTTGCAAAAGTATGGCGGCCACAACTGCCCATCCTCACTGTGCTAGTTGGTTTGTGTTCCTATTTCATCCTCTTGAACCCTTCAGCGATGGAAATTGTCCCTTCCTTAGCTGAACGCACACTCTGTTAACATTAGTCACACAAGGTTTCTACTTTCAACTGCTACAAATAATGAGAAAGAGAAGAGGTGGTGGTGATTATGTGCCGTGGAGTTGGTTCCGACTCATAGCGACCCTGTATAGGGTTTCCAAGGCTGCAAATCTTAACAGGAGCAGAAAGCCTCATCTTTCTCTGATGGAACCACTGGTAGTTTCGAACTGCTGACCTTGAGATTAGAGCCCGATTCATAACCATTACACGACCAGTGTTCCTAGAGAAGAGGTAGAGGACGGGAAAGGGAAGAAGCAACAACCTCCAAAACCTTCTTCCTGTTTTCTGATTACAACGCCAAAGAAGCAAGAGAGGATTGGCTAGAAACTCCCATCAAACAGATAACTATGATGAAGCGACGGACAATTAAGTCTATTGGTCAGTCTTGCCTGCTGTATAGACACGCATAAATAAATGAATAGTGGATGAATGAGTGATTATTGAAACTTATTATTGATTGCAGTTCAGTGACCTTTTGGAGCTTGTGTCCCAAGATGACCCAGTGTAGGTCAGGAGCAGAGATATTTAGAATTTGTTCAATTTAAGTTGATCGTCATCAGTTTATATTTCCTATGCCTGAAAAGACACAAAACTAGTTTCCTAAAAAAATGTGTCCTCGGAAGCGTGCATCAAAACATGCCTGGCTTGAAACAACATCACTTTCAGGACAAAATGGCAGAATCATTTTTGAACTAAAAGCCAGGTACATGCAGCGATCAAGAAAGCAGAGGGTAATTGAATTGTTATTAAAGGTAGTACTTCCAGTAGTGCATGATTGGAGTTAGCCAAGAGATGGATAATGGAACAATCTGTCTAATGTGATGTTCATGAGCACAATGCCTTATTTTGTACAGAATGGAGTACAAAGACAATTGTAGCCACTTGGAGCTGCAGGCAACCTTTTTTGAAAACCTGCCTGGTGTGACCTCATCCTGGAATGCTTCAGCCCTAACCACTTCCCCTTCAGCCCAACATCCCCTGGCCAGGCACCCACATTTAGGGTGACAGAAAACAGTAGGTGTATGGAGTTAAGATCCTGTGAACTTTCTAAGAAATCCAGAGGCTCTTCTTTGTTGAATTAAATAAGGCTATTTGGGGGGGAGGGGGGTGGATATATATATATTAAATGTGTGTTCCAGCAGTATGCATTTGTAGCCAACAATAGAATTTCATTGAAAATAAACATTCGTAATACAATGAAAGAGAAAAATGAATTTCCCAAAACCTTATTCCAGAAGTTTAGTTTGTGCCAGAATAAAAAGGTGCTAAGTGATTGTCCTGCCCAATTATCCTGAGACCAAATTAGGAATTTTGTCACTAATGTTTCACAGGCCAATTTCTCCACTCTAATTCATTTGTTCTCTTTCCAAGGGTCGTCATAAAGCCTTGGTTTCTCACACATCAAAGGAAAACAATGTACTAAGTTCATTCCAATCAAAGTGTTAATCAGTGATGTTATTTTGCTTGAATGAAGCATTATACATGGGCACCATTTAATTTAGGAGGGGG